ACACCTGCAGAGTGCAGCAGTTATACAGCCTGCCGTGTCTTTCAAGAGTTAACTCTGTGTCCTCTGTGTCCAGAACAGTCGGACACTGCAGGTCTGAGCACGACTGGGACTGGGACTGGTTTTAGAACACTCTTTATCTCTGATGCACAAACAAGATGCGATCCCTGTGTCCCTGTGTGAGTTTTATTGTTTTGCGTTGCGCAGCTGTGCGTGATGTCCGACAGAGCTGTGCGGCCTCAGTGCCCAGTAGAAACGCACAAACACAAGATCCTGCGCGTCTCGCATGCTTCTGGGAGACCGGCCAGCTGCTGGCCACGGACTGTCTCTGTTCGCTTTCACAGCCAGTCCAGGGAGTTAGACTCCGCTGTCGACAGGGAAGCTGCGCCCCATGTTTCCGAGGAAGAATAACTCGTGTGTTTTGTGTTGCAGGAGCAGTGTTGGGCCAGAGAGGTGCAGAGTGGATTTTACTTCACAACCAAGAGGAACAAACTTTCACAACCAAAGCTGTGCTTTTTAAATCGTCAGTCGAGTCGGCTGAATATTCGACTAAGTGGAGTCTACAGTCTGCTAAAACGACACAGTCCGCACTGTCGCATCCTGAGGGCAGAGTGGACCTCCCGTGCTCTGCAGCTGAATCCCGTCTCCCTTCCCGCTGAAGGCAGCAAGCGCAAGGATCTCAGGAAGGAATTCCAAGTTTTTTCCGCTCCCCAGGATTCCTTACAGGGAATTGAATCTTTTGCCCCCTCTTAGAAATTCCTGCTCCAGACTGCCCGTTCCTCCGGGAGTGTGGTCCTGGAGGGAGACGGGAAGGCCGCCTGCAGCCGCGATCGCTTGTGCCCCGTCGCCATGCGGGCGGGCGGGTCTGACCGCCGGGGCGACGCCACTGTTGATCCGGCTCCGGAGACGAGCGGGGCGGCACTGCCCCAGAATCTTCCCCTTCTGGTATATCTCTCTTCATTAGGAGGATGAGTAGTTAAGTATCCGCAGGGTAGCATTATGATTACAAGTAACTGTATAAGTACATGTACTTCTTCTAAATGCTTACTTTAAATTCAGAACATTCCCTGTCTTACGTTCCTCATCATATGGGGGCATATTCCACCCCCCTAGAGTAACACTATTGCCAAAGGGCCAGTTATATCTTTCTCGTACATCTCCTGGATGGCTAGTTTTCCAGGAGTCACAGATGTTATCCCAGGAGAATGGAACCGGGACCAGAGGAATAGCAAAGTAAAATTCTTCTTTTTATAGTGTTATTTGAGAGCGGAACCTGTTTCAGTTTTTCTGATTCGGGGGGTCTGAATATTGTCTCGCACGTGTCAACAGCACAGGGGCTTCCACACGACCTGAAAGACAAAACAGACGACCGTTGTTTTTTAATCTGGATTTTTTACGTCTCTCTCAAATCCTGGGTTCTGGGTTCAGGCTGCGCTCACAGGACACCCCAGATTTGACCCCCCAGGCGAAACAGGCAGGCTGTGCTCACAAGACACCCCAGACCTCGCCCCCCAGGACATTCCATGTGGCATGTGCACAAAGGGTGCCTCAAAAACTCCCCCCCCCCCGCCACCCGCACCCTGGAATCGCCTCACAGATCTGAGAAGAGTGGAGAGGGGGGCCGCCTGGAGACTGGTGCTCTAAACCTGGTCAGCTGGGCCTGACCCCTCAAGCGTGGGCCTTTGAGAGCCTGACAGGCGCGTTATCAGCTGACATCAAACGAGCCGAATCAATCCCAGGAGCCTCGATCAAAGCTGCACACCGGCCCCAGTCTCCTGCCCGTGACTCTGGAGGTAGGAAGTCCCCTCCTGCACGAGTGTGGAGTCAGGGACGCAGTCAGGCTGGGCTGCGGCTCTGGACAGGACTCACCCACAGGCGTGTCCCCGGGACGCTCCTCCTGGGCCTGTCCTGCCGCTGTCTGAGGTAACTGAGCACACAGAGCAGGCTGGGCGGCCTGTCCAGCTCTCCAGCAGGGCCGGTGCCGTCGGGCGGAGTGCACGCCGGGGCCACTGTCCAGAGCAGCCCAGTGACGATGTCCTCCACGATGTTTGACAGGCCTGAGGAGGAGGAGGATGAAGTTGGGCGATCAGCGAGTCCGTTCTGGCCATCGGTGATCCCGGGACCC